TTTTTTTCGTTCGGGAACAATTCCGAGAAAGGGACGGAGATCGGCGTTTCGCTGCAACGCGCGCGCTGAGTTTTCCACCCCGTGCCGGATGAGAACCACCATGTGCTCTTCGCCACGTAGTGTTGGCAGAGTGCTCGTGATCGATTACTCGTCATCCGCGCGCGATGTCCCGAGTTCGACGCCCACCGCCCGCTGCCAAACCAAACGTACTCCTTTCTTTTTTTCCTCCTCTCGCTCTATTTTTTTTTTTTTTTCTCGCTCCCGCTCCCGCGCACATTCGTCCTCGCTCCTACCTTCCACGTGGTCATCGACCGTGGACGGAGCGTGGTGGTGCGCGCGACGTAGATGCTCGCCGCGAAACGGACGCGTTTTTCGCCTTTTCCCTCCACGATCGACTGCAGACGGGTTATTCTGCAAGTTCACGGAGCGTCAAATCGGAGTCACTTTCCCCGAACGTTCGCGCTTCGATGGAGACTGCGAATTTTTATTCCGTCTGTTCTACGCTCGCGTGTTCGTGAAAAGAGAGCCGTGGGAATATTGGTAAAAATGCGGAGCAATGCAAGAAATGCATTCGAGAACTTGACGCCGTTTTTGTGTCTCTCATCGACCCACTTTGCATATTGAAATTGTATCTCCCGAAAACTTTGTACGATTCTTAAAAGATACGAAACTTCCATTTGCCTACAGTATACACGTATAGCAGAGGCATTTTCTCTTGTATATATTTTATACTATTGGACGAAGAAACAGTTTTGTCACAATTGAACGATCCACTGAACAATTCATCAAATGCTCATTGAACGAATAAACTTGCTTCCACATCCGTAAATATAGCGATATCATTTTCGCGGACAAGTTTTATTTTCTTTATGCGAGACAGTTTAATTAAGTAAAATAAGATGGAGAAAAAAATGTTTCTATGATAACAATTTGTGCGAATCGTTTTCTAACTCGGCAAGTATTTCCCCAACATTGCGGAATAACTCATTGTCGCAAAAGGGGAGTGTTGCCAGACCGAGAAGTTTATAATGAGTGTGACTTGCTACCAAAGTTTTGCCGAAACTTTCAAATATAGTCTCTGCTTCAAAGTCCATTCAAAACTGCAGATCCTACGCTAATGACTCCAATAATCAACATCGAAGAACGCCGACATGTCTTTCGTAATTGCTCGAGCAGGGTTTTATGTTAACGTTAGACTTACCGATCAGTAGGAGCAGCAATAATGTCGACTCCATTCCCAAAACCCTAGTGTAGTTTAGATGTAATCAGCTCAACACATTCTTGAAACTCTCCTGAAACAAAGTATGCAGCGAGAAGATTAGAGAGATAAGCTCTTAATCCAGAGTTTCCGGTAATTGATCGGGAGCGAATAATTGAATTGAAAGCGCAAAACTAAAAAGAGATTAAGCAAATGGCTTCTAATCCGCTAATGTTATGTCCGCGCTTTCAAAGCAGACAGGATTTTCAATTAATCGTGCTATTTTTCATTCAGTTTCAATATGTAACGAGAAAATCATAATCATCGCATAAAAAAAAAAAATTACGTAGTAATCATGAATCATATATAACGAAAGCAGTATACCAGGATAATAACATTTCATGAATTTAAAGCGTATTCCTTAATTTTGCATGTTTATGATAAGTTTAACATACAATGCTCGGTGTCTTTCTCGTGTCTCTTTCAGCGTGTGGGAATGCGCGGGTCGCGCGAAAGTGTCGAGAGACAATTACTATTATATAATCACATGCGCGAACGGACAGCTCTTACACACATATACACACATACATGCGCGCGCGCGCGGAGCTATGATAAAACGCTTGGTTTGCGACGTCAAGAACACATGTAGCGCGTTGCGTCAAATGGTTCGAGCGCAGGTCGATGGCCAAAGTCGGACAGAACAATGGTAAAAGGGCAGAAAGATAGAACGCGACGGCAAGGGACGGTTGGATAAAACGCGTTTCGGCGACGAGGCTTGGGTGTAGGATTCGGGGCAGGGATATGGGGGTGTAGCGGGAGATGGGGGAGAGAAAGAGAGGGGAACATTCCCGTACCGGAAGCGCAACGGCGGCCATTTTTCACGGTGCGGACATCCGTTTCCGGTTCACGATCACCGCGAAACACAAACAAAAATGGCGGACTCGGGGTGAAGACGAGGACGGAGGGACGGAGGGAGGATACGGAGCGAAAGAGGAAAATGGGAAAGACGGAAATCAAGTGCCGTGAGACAGAGGGGGCCGCGAGGCGGAAAAAGAACGACCGGCTTGACGACACGACGGCGGTTCTGTCGTCCATTGGAAGTTCTTTCTCTCTTTATCTTCTTGGCTTTCTTTTTCTTTTTACCATTTTCTCTTTCGCCATCGCCCGTTGCTTTTACGTGTTACACGTGTAGGATCTCTCCTCAATCATTCAGGGTGTATCTTTAAGATTTTCTTCAGCTTTAAAAGCTTCTCCCTTATGCACTCACATGCGCGAGATCGAAAACTTTTACGATGCTTAGCGGTGAGATGTATCGGTCTTATACTTTTCATCTCACAGCTGTCTTTCTAGATCCATACTTCAATCACTATCGCTGCGCTCGAGTTAAAACTCTAAAGTCATGAAAGTATGACAAGGAATAGAAGGGAAAAGAAAAACACGACTTTTTAAGTAGCAAATATTAACTTCAATCTTACTTTAGTTGATTCTTTGTCTCGTTGTAAGATTAAAACTCCCGAAAGAGAGCGAGAGAACTATGAAAGTAAACTCAATGTTATAACGAATGCGTTCATAAAGTCTCATAAAAAATAGCACGCGATTATACTGTGGGTATATACATTTTATACATTTTAACCCATTATACGAAAAAGGAAGGAGAGAGACGCGCGGGGAGATAAAACCGTCTTGAGCGGTAATAATCCGAGTTCCGCGGATATAAGGTAGTCGTCTTTGCCGTTCGACGCCAACGGGAACACACCCGGCATCCTTGCCAATCTCCGCCCTCGCCGTTCTCAATTTCCATCGTTCTCCTCGGCGTAATAAAGCCTCTTTGTCTTCCAGAGGCCGTCGGCGACGGTCTCTTTTCGCGGTTCGCGCCAAGCGTCGTGAAACGAGAGAATGGAAATTTACTTTTCTAGGACGGGGCACGTCTTCGCGCGGCCCCGGTCGATTACCGTATCGGGCGACAAGGACGAATGAGCCCGACGTAACTTGGCACCGATCCGGACACAAACGAGCTTTTGAAGTGCACCGTCTCGATATCATAACATGAGCTTGTCAAGAAGATTAAGATAGGCGATATGTGGGCGATTGTGGAATTTCTTATCAAAAACCCCAGGGAAAAGGAGAGGGAAATTTTATCATTTGTCTCCCGATTCAGTTTTTATCAAACTAAAGATTTCTTCGAAGAATCGAACGGTTTGCTCGGACCCTTTCCTAACTTAATTCAATAAAAGTCTTCAATTTCCGAAATATCAATCGGAATATATTTATTCGAATCAAAGTAAGAGGTTCCAAGTCTTATTGAAGCGGCCTGATTTAAAAAAAAAAAATAGTTGACGTAAAGTTCTTCGAGTATCTTCTAATTTTCAGTCTTCGGGGAGTAATTCGGTTTAAGCTGGCACGAGCAATTCCGCAGAAGTTGAATGGCCGCGCGCGCGAGAGAGGTAAGACAAGGACGGGCAAGAGTTATGCATTATGATTCGCTCCGTTCCCTCCCTTGCAACCCTCCGGCGCCAACCTAATAACGTCACTTGTTGCACGAGCCCCCCTCTGACCCCCACACTAACCCCGACGAGCTCCTCTCTCGCTTCCTCTTGCGCGAAACTATCGCCCACCCGGCACGGCAAAGTCCCGTGTCTCAAGGATACCCTCGTCTTATGAATTTCATTTATCTCGAGCACCCGCCGTGAACGCGCGTACGCGTGCGAACCACACGTCGAGACTACCGTTCTGTGCGTGTATATATATGCGTGTGTGTATGTGTGTATTTGTCGATGTTCTCTCGTTCACGAACCTTGAACCGCAATGTCGCATATATGCGAATCCCGCGTCTCTACATCAACGGGTGAAACAGGCTTGTCCTTTATATGCGGTCATTAATCTAACACGACGTTGCTCTGTCACCCTCCGCCCTTAAATTCGTTTCACGATTCGAGAGATGCACGGCGAATTTTTCGCATTGTGACGGTAAAAAAAGTGCCGCGAGAAATTAAGCAATCAGGAAGGGGGAGAGGGTCAAATCTACATTTTTCTTTCTCATTTATTTTATACGATAATAGAACGTACTGTCCCGTACCGTATGCAATATCGGCACATATCCTACCTCCGGGTATAACCGCAATTTATTAGAACAGAAAAAAATTGACACGGAACGTCCCTGAGACCTCGTCGCACTTTCATAGCCGCAAGTTTTAAATTGCACTGGTAATTTAGCGATATGACAGCTTTTAGCAAGAGGTTCATAACTATTCGATCAACGTTGCTAGAAATGGCGCGTATCGGATAGTTTCATCCAACTACGGGAATACCATGCTGAAACGAATCAATTTGTTCCAGGAATTTTTTAATTAAACGTTCCCTTTCTTTACTTCGTTACGCGTGCGGCCGACCAATGCGTGACTCGCTTACATAGTATACGGCATTACATGTATGAATGCAAATCGAGTTCGTATGCGTGGATATGTGCGTGTGCGTGTTATAAATGAAATAACACACGAGACAAATATAAAAAACACAAATTTTTAGCTTTGCGAAAAAGAACATGCTTGAGAAAAATTTTATAGCTATTTATTATTACACTGATACAATGATAGGACAAGAATGTCTCATTCGTTCCACCTATCCTGCGACAATGAGTGACGTGTTTCAAGATTTTACAAAACGAAAAAGGATGTATATACTATTTATTATTTTGTCGATTATTAACGCATTTATAAGAGATAATTCGGTTGATGCATGATGAGTCGTAAAATACACGGCATCGTGAAATCACGTTTCTCGAGAACGCGCGAGTGCGGAGGAAAGGGTGTAAAGGATAACAGTAAAGCGAGATTGTTCGAATGACTTTGCGCTCTTTGCGCGTCGGCCGCCCTCCATCGTGGGCGCATCGTTAACGAAACTTCGCTGGAATTTCAGCGCGCTCATTCCTCTCACCGCGCAATCACCGCCATATATCACGAAAACCACACCAAAGTATCAACCTGACACGTCTGCTCGTTAATGCGGAAACGATCTCAAGTACACTGTCGCGCCAAAGATCTATCAAATGCAAGATGGCCTCGCGTTGCGAGATTCTGAATTAGAGATTGATTTATCAGCAATTAGTAATTCTTGATAAAAAAAAAAATCTGGATAAATTTGCAGAGTGGAAGATCTGTGCTCCTTTTAGAGGAAAATTGTTGTAAAGAACTTAGATTTTACGAATCAGCGTAAAATATAAAATTGTTTACTAGCTCCGATTAAAAGCGCCTCTGCTTTGAAGCGAGTTACGCGGCTTCCGCAAAAAAAAAAAACAAAGCAAAAGAAAAGAAAAACGAGCAAATAAAATGTTCTTGATAATAGGAGCTTCGGGCAATTTTAATCGAATCGAAAGCAACGAAGCCGCGGGAGATATTCTGATTGTAATTCGATAAAGTTTCGCTCACGCTCGTTACATTGTCAGATCGCATAAAGCATAAATTCGGACGGTGTTTAACGAACGCGAGAAAGAGAGGGCTTCGCCCGCTGGTTACTGGAAATATCGCGGTACCAGTGTTTCACCACGGGGAAAATAATCGACTGCCGGCTGTCAACGTGTGCTTGAATTGTAGGCAATAATAGCATCGCTGGTACGCGGGATTAAAAGCGACGGAAAAACTGCGCCGCACTCGAGATATATCGCTGCCCGATATATATTTTCGCGTTAAGCTTTCTGTTTTCGTGCAACACCGCAGAACGCGGTTCAGTCGAAAACGTTATATTTCGACGAACCCCTTCCGGGGAGTGCCGAAAAAATCGAGGAATTGTTTCCAAAAAGCAAGTAATTTATTTTGAAAATTCTCACACGGTGTCGTTATTTCCGAAATAACATTTGCGAGGGCATACATATCCCCGAAAAATCGAAATAAGAGTGAGACATCGCGAAATATCAGTTATAATGAGAGAATTTATACATGTGTTCTCCTTTAGTAATTTTTCAGGCTATTATCTATTTTAAATTGCTTTTCTATTTTCTGTGTAGCCTCAAATATCTCTGGAAGTGACATTGTCAAATAATAATATTTCGGTGAAATGAATTTTCGATGCTTTGTTATATTTTTTAGTTCCGGAATTTCA